AAAAAAAAAAAAAAAAAAAAAAAAAAAAAAAGCCTGGGGATGGGGTTACATTGATTTCTTTCCCATTTTCATAGTTTTTCTCTTAGTGGCCTTATATCTTTAAAAAATATCATGTGTAGAAGCTTTACAGATCTGCATTTTAATCATAAACAGAATCAGGTTCCCCCAGTTCCAGCAGCTTTGCCAGTAGTGTTTCCAACAGCTGATATTTCAGTAATGTATTTTGTAAATTTTTTAGCAAACCTTAACAGGAGACTAATAATAAAAATCTTAATAAGTAACATTTATTTGCAACTTAATCCTCTATGCCCAACACTGTATACTTTAAATTATCTAATTCTTAACAACAATTTATAAGATACGTGATATTATTCATATATTATAAGTGAAGAAACTGGGACAAGGGAGGTTAAATTCACTTGCTATAAAGATATGCATTATAACCATTTCATTTATAGTTCAAAGAAAGCATTGTGGAATTATATTAATATTTTGGAAATCTGTCTTTAGTTTTAATTTTGAGTTCATTCTTCAGTCTTTCCTGTAATTATCTATAGAATTACGATGTAATAACTATTGACCCCACTGATAAAATTGAAAACTGAGCTTATTTTTAGATGGCTTTTTGAGGAGGGGTCATGGCATCATCGTAAGTGGAATCATTCTTTTCTTATTTTCTCAGACACTAAATAAAAGACTAAAAAATTGTTAGGATGTAATAATTTTTAACTTACCATTGATTAATTTAAATGTATAAAAATCATATCACATTAGTGAACGTTTATAAGTAATTTGAAACATTTTCATGATTGTGGAAGTTTTTACAGGCTTATTATATTATTACCAGTAGGAGTCCTAAGAAATATAATGCTAGAAGAATTAGCACTCCTGTATCATGACTAATAGAGTCAAGTGAATATTAGACTGAAAATTTGATCTTTATACTCAACCAGGCTTGGAGCCTGAGGATAAGCTTGTTAGTTCATATCTACTAAATTTCAGGATGGTTTCTAATATTGGCCTTATTCAATATCTCATGTTTTAAAAGTCTACTTCAGAGATGCCAAGTTTCCTTGACATTGATAGTATCCCATTGAGTGGAGAATAGAGTCTAAGTCATTTTTAGGATAAGCTTCATTTCATTTATTAAAAATAACTAAGCATAAATAATCCTTCTATAAACCAGCTGCAAGGTTATAGCTCAATCTTACTGAATGTCGGGCAACCACACCTTATTCCTTGGTAACCTGTAAAGTAGCTAGCTGTCGGACCTTCCCTGCCATATATGTGACTTATCTAATCTCTGACAAGATTCTCATTAGGCTGAAATCCCTTACCACAGTTATTCTTACCTTAATTTTTCTTACGGCCCATTCTCTTAACTACCTGCTGTAACAGCTGACATAGCGCTGTTAGGTTTGCAAATGAAGATCATGGATCAGTGTAATTTTGCACCTGAAAATTTGGATATATTGTTTCTTTTAGTACATTTATTACTCACTCTATGCAAGGCACCATGATAGGTAATGCAGAAAGTACATAGATGAGCAGTAGTAATCTGGTACTTAAAGGCTACTGAGTACTTTACTAGTGTCAGGCATTATTCTAAATGTTTTACCACATGTATTACCTCCTTTGATTTTCACAGTAACTATGTGAGCTAGGTACTGTTGTTATCTCCATTTTATAGATAACAAAACTGAGGCAGGAATTCATAAATTGCCCCAGGGAACACATGTACCTGGTAGATCTGGGCCACAAACCCAAGCAGTTCTGCCTTAAGGACCTATGCTTAGCTGATATAATACTGCTTCTTTTTTTTTTCCCTTTGCGGTACACGGGCCTCTCACTGCTGTGGCCTCTCCCATTGTGGATCACAGGCTCCGGACACGCAGGCTCAGCGGCCATGGTTCACAGGCCCAGCCGCTCCGCGGCATGTGGGACCTTCCCGAACCAGGGCACGAACTCATGTCCCCTGCATCGGCAGGCGGACTCTCAACCACTGTGCCACCAGGAAGCCCAATACTGCTTCTTATTCCTTGATCTCAAGGAACTCACTTGCCTAAGTCATTCTTAAGCTTTCCAGGAACTTCAGAGCAGAGCTATGTCACCTCTATAAAGGAGAGCACAATGGACCCTGTGGCCAAGGCAGTTAGCATTCAGCACAGTTTTCTAGTTTGTTGACTTTCACATGATTCTAGCTTTAATAATATTCCTCTTCTGTGAAAATTCTCTAAGACTTGTCTTTAATAGGGTTTAAGTGAAATGCTGTAGTTCTGCAAATAAATGGAATGCCCTAGTAAAATTTTAAGATTTGATGAAACAATTAGATGCCTAATTTCTCCCAGAAATCTTACAGCAGATTTTTCTGGTTCTGGGGGTGGTGGAGAGGGACTTTAAAGCCATCCCGAAATGACCACAGGTAAAGCAAAGAATAACATCAGGGTTTCAGGGTTTGATGTTCTCTTACTTTCTTTCACCAGAAGTTTTATTTTGAGATGTGGCAGAGCAAAAACATTGGTCGTGTTGATGGACTTGAGTTGTTCAGATAATTATCTTCAGTTTTGATTGGTTGAGCAAAAGTCTCAAGAGATTTCTCTAAAATTTTTAGTTTACAAATGAATTAAGGGAAGGTCAGCTCTAAGCAGAATGTAATTTCTAGAAGAAAATTGTTCTGGAAGATTGGTAATAAAGTTGTTAGTTGCAAAGATGAGTTAAAGATACACACACACACACACACACACACACTGGAATTGGCAGTTTGGACTAGCCAAACCCCTGTGTATTCCATTCTGAAGCTGTTGAATCTCAGTATTGGAAAAATATCTAACAGTTTCTTGAAGTTGTTTTAGTCTCACCCGTTAGTATGCAGTAATGCTTGTAAAGCTGTCCAAGCTTTCTGACTTGACTAGCAGACAAGTTTTTTCTAAATAGTAAAGATCAGTAAATTAGGGAGGGAAAAGTATTAATAAATAAACCTAGAGTTATAATTCAGTTCTTTAAACCATTGGCTCACTAAATATTCTGCACTTTTGTAATATCAACACTTTACTGATATAACAACATAAAATAGATTTCAGGAGATTTTGATGTTCAGCAAATCATATGAAGATAATATTGAAAAATTCATTTGTATATTTCTGTTTTTATAAATTGACCATTTAAATACGGCATACGTTATTTTTTGTTTTTAAAGATATGTATTTTAATACTGTGGGTTTCTTAATTCTTTTGGGAAATTGACATAAAATATATTGTCAAGAATTCATATTTAATCATTTCATGTGAAAGGCACAAATTCAATTTGAAGTAACTTTTATTCAATGTAGAATGTTGGCAAAACTAGAGTTTTCTTCTAATTTCCTGTCTATATTTTTATAAATGTATTATTTTGCTGAAATCTTAAAATTATTTTTCCATTGGAAGTTATAGCATTTTCATAAAGTTTTTAAATAAATTGATAAGGATCTTGAACATGACTGAATTTTGATTTAAAATAAAGCTAAAATTTGTTTTACATTGTGGCAAATATTTACATTTTAGAGAACAAACTTTGCCTGTAATTAGTCAATAATATTTTTAAAATAACTTGGATTATAGATACAAATAATCTGCAGTATATTAAGGGAAGATGAGACTACATTCATAAATCCCCTTTTATAGTTGTAGTAAAATTCATTTAAAAAACTGTATCTGTAGAAATGAATTGTGCAAAATAATATACATGTAACATTTACATTTTTAGGAACTGAAAAATAGAGTTCTATGTCATTTAAATTGGAGACTGTCTCCCTTCAGTCAATAGGCTTGATCATCATCTGAGCTGCTCTCAAGGAGTATGAGCCACCTCGGTATTCAGCCCAAAATATTCCGTCTTGGTACTTGCTTCTGTAATGGCCTCCTCTGTACCATACTCCATTTAGGTTAGAGTGTGCACAGGCATTGTACCACCATCCTCCTTTATGAAAGTGGGCGCAGTTTCCTTTGAGGAAAAAATATAGACATTAGAGTAAAAGTTTCTTCTAAGTGTGGTACTCTGTAAACCATCAAATACTTATTCTACTTTTAGAACAATGTGAGTTTTTCTTACTGATTTCAGTTACCTTTATCTTCATAGTGTTGTTTCTTCATTTATTCTGTTACTGTTGCTTAAGTATCACCTACTTGAATGATCACTTGAATTGCCATTTTTATTTTGCCCTTTGCTTAGTACATGCTTTTTTGTTGTTGTTGTTAAGTGATTTAATTTTCTGGCTAGCAGGGTAAATAAAATGCAAGTAGTTTTTGTGTGCAAGAGAGAGAGATTGGAGAGATCGGGAGGGAAGGATATGGAGTTGCTAAACAGAGTAAAGTTTGGGGAAAATTGATTTTCAAAATAGCAAAAAAATATGAAATAGTACTATTAGCAGTCAAATGAATTTCTATAATTAAGGCATGTATTATGATCATATTTGTTTTCCTTTTTTCCTCTTTTGCCGGTGTGAAATAGAGTCCTATGCGCTGCTTGCCAAGACACAGCTGAATGTAAAAATTAATCAACTTTCAGGGGTATGTCTTTATCAGAGCCAGAAACCTAGGTTAAAAAGGCAAAAGTATGTGACAATTAAATTAAAAATTATGTGATGGCCTAAATGAGTCTTTCTAAAGAGACTATTTCCCCTCTGAATAAAGCTTTTTTGCTATTCCTGTACCACATGCTGCAGTCGTCTTGCTAGTCCCCTTTACCAAGAAGTGCCTTTACCCAGCGTACCCAAATGGATTGTTTCCTTCACTCCCTTCAGGTAACATTCAAATGTTACCTTTCTTGGCCAACCCACATAAAATGGCACCCACTCCCTGTTCCCTTATTCGGTTTTACTTTTCCTAAAGTACTTGTCACCACCTAACAAATCATCTTGTCTCCTAGAAAGTAAGTTCCAAAAGGGCAGGAACTTTGTGTTCACTGCTGTATTCCTCAGCACCTACAACAGTGTCTAGCACATGGTAGGGGTCCAGTGGGATTTGTTAGCAATTTTAGGCAGTTGGAAGTTTTATTTCCAGATGAGTATGTTTTGTTTCCCATCCCCACCCCATCAAGTTAGAACAGCAGAACTTTGTTCACAGAGTTCACACTTTGGGATTGCCTTAGAGAAGAGCTCCTAAAAGCTGTTCCTTTCAGCAGGTTGTATTCTCTTTGACTGAGTCCAAAACGACCTTTCTGAAAAGACTTTAATGGCAATACTTTAATAACAGGGTTCTATTTAATGTGTAGAAAGTGGTGATTCTACAGAGAATACACATCAGTTTTTTCTTACTCACCTGCATACATATCTTTATCTCTGTCCAGTGTGGTGAACTGTTTACCATTATGCCACATCATAGAATCCCCAGCATTCCCCTGGTAAGTTCCCAGGCGCAGTCTATAGAATTCACTTTCAGGTTCCAGGCGAAAGCTGCTATATTCTGCATAGACTTTTTTATCACTCCAGTCTTCTAATTCAATCAACAACTTATAATTATCTTGATTGCTAAGCATATAGATATTTTGCAATCCAAGCCAATATTCTCCATCTATGTTTCCAAATCCTTTCTGTTAATAAACAGAGAGCATGCTTACATGAATAATTATAGAGATAGTAAACTTTTTATAGATAAGTTTTAAACATTTGATAGCATAATAATATTGACAATTTAAGTGGTAATGTGACCTTCTACTTTTGTAGATCACCTGTTCTACTGAAGTCCCATATAATCACTTTGTTTTGTTTTGCTTTCTCTTAATTTAGTCAGCATTTATTTGTACAACTACCTCCAAACTTTACAAATAAGATAAAGGCAGAAGGGAGTAAAATTATTCATAGTGACTAAAAACATTAACTACGTAAACTACCCAGGCCCTTAAAAAGGGTTCCTGATTTCTCATACTCATAAAAAGAAACAATTTTTTGTATATAGATATTGTCCCCACCATAGTCAAACAAATAGGACATCTAACATTTTTATGATATTCAATAAAAATGATAGTATCTGTTTTAGAACAAATTATCTTCTTTGACTCTATTAGAAATAAAATTAGTAAATGTAAGAAGATAAAACAGTAATCTTCAAAGCTCCTTCTTTGAAAAATTGTAGGTTAATATTTGAAAAACATAATAAATCAGTTAACTATCCTATTTCAGTAAGCATTTGCCATTGCAGGTATGCAGCAGAATATAGGTTTGGTAAACCTGATCTTAACACTAAATGTATTTTCAGGGGGGTTGTGTTGCAGGATTTTTTCCCCTTGTTAAAGTAGAGGACTTCCCGGACTTCCCTGGCGGTCCAGTGGTTAAGATTTCCCCTTCCAATGCAGGGGGTATGGGTTCAAATCCCTGGTGGGGGAGCTTAGATCCCACATGCCTTGCCACCAGAAAACCAAAACATAAAACAGAAGCAATATTGTAACAAATTCAATAAAGACTTTAAAAATGGTCCACATCAAAAAAATCTTTTAAATAAATAAGTAAGTAAGTAAATATAAAGTATAGGACCTCCAGCACATGACCGTTTTTCTAGGACTGTTTATCTCTGATTAAATATACTTGATAATGGGCACAAATGTGGTCATGATTAAAAAAGCAGTTGTCGTCTTAGAAAATGAAATTAGGATCAGTCTTTGCAAAGAATTAAATACATATGTAAGTCATTCAGACTGAAAGGAAACATTTTAAAGTACATCTTCAGTTTCCTTTCTGCGTTTTAATTTTGACTTTAAAACCAGAGATGAGAATTGTCTTTCTGACAAATGCAGATAAAGAAAAACAGATGGATAGTTTTTTTTTAACTGTGTATCTTATTTATTGCATATAATGACTATTATTGCAAGAGCTGCTTTGTTCCTACCTCTCCCCCGCGTCTGAAACACTGATTTACCTTATAATTTTCCCAATTTCTGAAGAAATTGACAGAGCCATCTGTTCTTTTCTGAATAACAGTCCAACCCCCAGGATCCAAACTGTTCTCACACCATAACTGCATTGGTCCATTGCTGTTTTCAGGTTTGATCATATAAATCCCACTGACTGAATGTCCAGCTTCTTTTGCATGCTGACAGTCTTTGAATGGTCCTGTAATCAGAATATCTTTGATTGCCAGGAAACTTAATAGGAAAAGAGCCATATTAAAGTAGTTTTTAGTCAAGAGTCTTACTTACCTTTGTATCTTTCTTTACAGATACCACTTTTTATGTATTGTGTACACAATACAAGTTAAAGAAACTAAATTTATATTTTAAAAAAAGCTAAATAAAAGAATTACCCTAGTCCCACTATCTGCAACATTAACTTGTTTTATCTTCCACTGTTCTTGCAAGTCTTTGTCCAAATACATACATTTTTGTATTGTTATAGTTCTAACACACATAGAAAATTGGATTCTGTCTTTTTATTTTAACAAACACTTCCATTGGACTACAGTCTCCATTCTAGCACTTACAGTAGCTGTAATATGCAATCTTTGTTGTTGATATATCATGTTTATTCCACTGCCATTGGACACTGAGGTTTTATCTGATTTTTGCTATTATAAATAACACTGTACAAAGTGTCTTCTTATTGGCTTCATTTTTTCATACTTATAAAAATGTTGCAAGATTGATCTACTGGATCAAAATGGTACAAACAGCTTTACAGTTCTTCATAGTGCCCAATTTTTAGTTTCCAAAATTTGATTTCAGTGGAACACACTAGTCCCTTGAGATGCTCAGTGAAAATGGCATACCACAGTCAAATAAGTTTTAGACTGCTAAATATTATGTTACCCTTTCGGAAACACAATATACATTCACATATTAAAGACTGAGAAGCCCTGAAGTAAACCAGTTTCCCAAACTTTTGGAATCTTTTAACTTTTTCCCTCATACAACAGTTCATAAGAATACACTTCAGGAATGTTGGCAAAATGCCTTTCTAAAGTGTTGTATCAATTTATATGACTGATAGTAATTTTCTTATTTAATCTACACAATGACTTTCTGATAGTTTACAGATGTTCTATAGATGAAACAGTTAACTAACTAGTCTTTAAACCATAGGCTTAAACCCACTTTTTTCTAATCCCAGCATCTATGCTCTGAACTGCTGTGCTACAGTTGTCCCCATGTTATCTCACAGTTTTATGAATACACTCCCTATTTTTTAATCCACTGATAAGTTTTTCATAAATTTTAAAATGACAAAACATTTTGTAAAATCATTTGTAGAGTGTCTTGACTCTTGAACGTGTGATTTCCATATTTTTGACCTAAAGAAAGATAGCTTCTAGTTTTACTGAACATTATTTAGTTTCACCCTTCTCCAGCGTTTTGATGCTTTGATTTTTTTTCGTTAAGTATGTCAAGATATGAAGTGGTTCAGAAATAAGAATTACCCTAAAGATCTATTTGAACAACCAAAAAAGTATAGAAATTTCAGTTGTCAAATTTTATATTTTACTAAAAATTTTTAAATTCTGACATGTAGAATTTTTAGAAAATGTGTGAAAGTAAGAGAGTTTAGTCAAGTAAAATTCATCCAAGAAAGTCTGTACTGTAATGATGATAGGATTGTTGAAATTTTGAGGAATGTGTTATCTATACTGTGCCAAGTATATACAGGGTCCCTTATGGGGCGTTATTGGGGTAGAATTAATCTCATTAAATAAACAGTTCCACAGTTACGTCATTAGAAGGGATTCTTAGAGACTGTAAACTCTTCCCTCTAGATTACTCCTTGAAGATGGAGACTGTTTTTGTTTTTCTTCTGACTTCATGTCATCACTGTTTTAACTATTAAGCAGATGGTCAATACATTTTTGTTAAGCAAATGAATCAACTAAGTTGACTTCACATTTTAAATAACAAGGAAATTGAAAACCACACACAAAAATCAGAGATGATCAATTCTCTAGTCGATGTTTTTATTATGTTTCAGGTTTTTAAAAGTTATAATACAGTGACTTGTAAGCACTACAGATTACTATTAAAAATTTGCGGAAACTGGAAATATGTAATGCTATCTTTCTTGGGTTATATTTATTTTAGGTATTAAATGTCTTAGTTATAGAGTTTCAATTTGATTATTTTTTTATCGTTTTTATTTCTCTTCTGAGATTCCAGTCTTGCATTTATTATGAACATAGTTTCCTTTAAGCCGTAATAACTACTTTAAAAATTCTTGTTCCTTCTATTGCCTAGTTTGTTGAGAGTTCTTACCATGAATGGATTTAGGATTTTGTCAAAGGCTTTTTATTTATCTACTGACATGATGATATGATTTTTCTTTTTTCTTGTTAATATGATAAATTCTGTGGATTGTATTTTTAATGTCAAACCAACCTTTTATTCCTGGGATAACCTCAACTTTGTCATGTTATCATTTTTATGTATAGATGGTTTTGATTTGCTAAAATTTTGTTAAGAATTTATGCTTTTATAGTCATGAGGATATTTGTTAGTTTGTGAAAGCTCGTAAATAGTTTCTTAAGCTAGGGAGGACTATTCTAAAAATAATGTTTGCCCTTTTCAGACTGGCCATAAATTAGATCACATTCCATTTAAATTCAGTGTGAATTATTTTTATGCTATCTACCTTCTCAGTTATTGAATTTAAATTACAGAGTATTCAGAGCCTTTAACACAATGCTTTACAAAGTAGTCATCTTCAGTAATTTAGTTCCCTTTTCTTCTTCTTTGCTGACCTTGACCCTTACTGCGTAATTTAAGGAGCTTGTGTAATAAATGTTTATTTAATTCATAAATTTAATGCGACTATTCAAAGATGAATATACAGTCATTTCTATTGCAGAAAAATAACGTATTCCTGAAAAATCTCGTGTTCTGCAAAACTGTGCACTAAAAATAGCAGCTGATGTTAGCTGTTAGCATACTTTGTGTTCAGCTGCAGTTACTTGTGGCACAGAACATTAATATGCTTGGGGAAAATTCCATATGAATCAATATGACCACTTTGTTTTGCTGATATTATTCTCCTTTTTTATCAGTCACGTATGAGCTACCTCACGTTACAGAAACACGCATTGTAGTCAAGTCAGAGAAGGGTAGAGAAGTTTAAATGAAGTATGATTTCCAGGTCCAATCTTAAATTATTTTGTGTAATGCATGGTAACGTGTTTATTTGTTTACTCACAAGCAAGAACTGTAATTTTTGGTTGTGTATCCACAGGTTAACCCACTTAGGTGCCCAAATATTTGTTGAACTAAATGATTCCTGGCAGCCTCAGTGGTTTCCTCAGTTCTGCATTATTTTTCCCAGAAATGTCTTTTCTGCATCTATGATAGCCTAGAAATCTTTAGGCTCCAGGGATAAGGAAACAACCATAGAGTCCAGTAGGAAGTGGGGGGAGAGAACTCCACTACAGCTTGCTGAGTACTCTGATTGAGTCAGCAGGGCACCCGGGAACACTGGCTAAGAATTAGCTTACCTAGATTTGTGGGGAAGAGCTGGAGTCGGCTCCATCTGAGCTGAGTTGTGAAGATTGAGTAGGAGTTTGGCCATTAGGGGTAGAGGGTCTGATCAAGGCCACACATGGGTGAAATGTGCTGAGGCGTGGAGACAGAAGAGAACTTGATGTTCCAGCGGAGTTACAAATTTTGCATGTCTGAAATGTCAGTGGTTGGAGGGTGGTACCTCAAGAGCTCTTGAGGTCGGCTGTACGGTTGAAATTGATTTCTTCAGTCTAAGAATGCAGTCATCATAGTTGTTTACCACGTTAACCAGATTTTTTTTCTAAATTGTCACTTTCACAATAGTCAAGGATATCTGAGGAGCATTGTTCTTATTTTAAAACCTATTAATATTGTAGTTAAGGCACACATGAAGTGGTTTTGTTGCAATACATACAGATATTTCTCTTATTTCAGAAATTTGCTTATTCTATGAATGTCATCTTTGTAAATGTTTGCTCTGCACTCATTTGAGTACAGTTTTGACAGTTTACATTTTATGTTTAACTATATATTCACAAGTTGGACTTTCATTAGATTATTTGAATTGCTGTTAAAATATTTAGAAACATCAGGACTTTGAATCTTGACAGAATATTTGTAAAATGCCATTTGTCCCTTTCCTGCTATTTAATAAGCCCACTCGGATGTTTAAGCAAACTGGGGAGTTCTGGGTTTTCTAGATCCAGCTTTGATTTGATAAGACTTCAATTTATGCAAATTTAAAATTATCTTCAGCTTTAATTTTCAACCCACTTTTTCGTAGTGGGCTTCATGTTTACAGTTTGGATGCCTGTTAGACTTGGTTGATATAAAGGCTTAGGAAAATGTGGTTGAAATTCTTTTCCAAGACATTTGGATAAAATTAGCAGTGCTTATAGCTATTTATTTTCTTGTCAGTAAAGATAGTAAATATCAAAATTTAGTATTTGTTTATTTTTATAAGTAAACCATTAACCTGTCTTAGCCCAGTGTATACTGTTGGTCTTGGCATAAATATTTTCTCATTATTAACTTGCATATCTTATTCATTTTCTGCTGTAGAATTAGGTTATAGATCATTCTTACATTAAATATTTTACTGCTTTCTCTGTACCATACAAAATGCTTAACAGGAATTCTTAAAATGACTAGTAAAAAAGTAGGAGCTTTATTTTTGAGAAGCCAGTTTTAACTTGCTGGTTTATACTATCAGAAATAAATTAATTGATTTATTTATCTATGATATTTATATATGATTCAGGAATTTGTTATTAATGGTTCAAAGGGTATAGACTGGAAGTACCTTTCTTTCAAAATAGGAATTTTATTAACCTTTTGTTTGCATTGAGTAATTTTTTTTAATTTTATTGGAGTATAGTTGATTTACAATGTTGTGTAAGTTTCAGCTGTACAGCAAAGTGAATCAGTTATACATATATCCACTCTTTTTTAGATTCTTTTCCCATGCTGGTCATTACAGAGTACTGAGTAGAGTTCCCTGTGCCATACAGTAGGTTCTTACTAGTTATCTATAATATTTTATTTGTAGTAGTGTGTATATGTCAGTCCCAATCTCCCAGTTTATCCCTACCCACCCCCCCTTTCCCCCTGGTAGCCATAAGTTTGTTTTCTACATCTGTGACT